CTATTTACGAACTCTTTATAAAGGGTGTGGGTGTGGAATCAGAGAAGGCCTACACCCACACCCACACCCCACCCTTTTCGTTTCAATAATATTATTGTTTATGAATAAAAATAAACGTAACTTCACTCCCTATAGTTCTTAATAAATTAAAATTGAACTGACATGAACATGAGTAATCGAATACCCAGTATTAAAAACAATCGTTCCATTTGAAGGGCGGATGATGTTTTTCTCTTCATGCTCCTGACACCTATCCTCATCTATGCACCCACCCTCAGGATGTCGAGTAGTCGATGAATATTGCAAACAATATTGCAGATTTCATGTTCCAATTTGAAATCGTCTATGCGAAGATTATACCGAAAGTATAGATGATAAAATTCATCACTTTTGGATAAATTATTTCATAGGAATAATAAAAAGAATCTATTGTTGTTTGACCGATTTGGAAGTTTTTTTGGATATTCATATACATAGAATGATAAAAAAGTTTTAAAAGGATAGGGACTTATAGGCTGGCTAAAATGATCTTATTTGAAAATCATCAGAAAATTCTCACCAATTATACATTTCTAGAAAGGTAATCGACTCCATTATGTATTTGTTTTATTGTTTCACTCCCGACACTGCTGTGTCTTCCGTTCGGTCATACATGCAGTGAGCAATGGATGTGCGCGTCGGTATCGATGTAAGTGATAAGTTATTGATACTGAAGAAAAAACAATAACTTCTGGACTCTTGGTGTCGTGCTTTAAAAAATTGAGTAGAGAATCTTGAATGCAATGGTGGGAAAGGTTTAGAAAGAATACGATGATGCTCATGTGATTGATCAACCAATACTTGATTTCAGAAAATAAAGAAAACACGTATTTACAAGATTTTATCCAGTCAAAAATATTTTTGTTTGATTTAGTCATTAGGTGTGCCTTACAAAATGAGTCACAAAAACTTCTATATAAGATATTAAAGAATATTTTCGCATTTTTGTTTTATGATTCACATTCCGTAAATTAATTCTTCCCGAGAGTTATAGTCAATTAAATGATGTGAAAATAGAGATCCGTAAAACGATCATGTTATCTTCTATTATTTCTTCTCAGTAGATAACTAATTTGCTGATGTAATCAATCTGTGATCGGATTGACATAGAGTTCGAGTGTGGTTAGTGTCTATTTAAAAGATGATACAGTAGTACGAGACAAAGAAGATTATTTCTCTTACTGTGTTATTGACCAATACGTCGATGAAGAACTGTGCTCCCATGTCTCCGATTCTATTCCGTTGAAGATCAAGAGTGGTGAGTGTCTTAATCAAATCAGGCAAAATAAAATTATCAGTAAGATGAAAAGTATTAGTTTCTCACCGTATTGTTTCTCAATGCATCAGCCAGATGTTGTATGCCAGCGTCTCCAATCTGATTCCATGCGAGATAGAGTGTCGTCAGAGTCTATATCAACGAAGAGACCTGAATTTCAGATATACGATGAGAGAACTGCTCTAACCTGATTGTGCCTTAATACGTCAGCCAGATGTTCTATGCCGACATCTCCAATTTCATTGCCGAAGAGATTGAGTGTTGTGAGTGTCTATGTTGAAAACAAACAAGATGATCTTCGACTGATAACGAAACTCGTTCGCATACCCTATTGTGTCTCAACGCATTGGCCAGTTGTTCGAACCCATCAGCACTGATTTGATTCCATCTGAGATCGAGCGTTTCAAGTGTCTATGTCAGAGAATCCAAGACTATCCAACAGAAAAGAAGTTAGAATCTCTCACTCTATTATGCCACAATGCTATAGCCACTTGTTCTAACCCAAAATCTTCGATTTCATTGCGTCCAAGATTCAGTGATTTGAGCGTCTACACCAAAAAAACCATAAGCTTTTCAGATAGACTAAAAGATTTCTTTTATTACTGTATTATATCTCAATGCATCAGCGATATACTGTGCACCATCGGGCCCAATTCGGTTTCCTCCAAGGTTGAGTGTCGCTAGTGTCTGCATTAAAAAATGTACTAGAATAAATATTTAATCATCGACACCATGGATATGCTCACCGAATTGTTCTTCAAAGCATCAGCTAAGTGTCGACTACCGTCTGTTCCGATACGATTCTTTTCTAGATTGACTGTGGTGAGTGACTGTATTTCAGACATTCAAATAGACAATAAGAATTATGAGAATTTTTCTCACTCGATTCTGCTTTAACACATTAGCTAGATGTAGGGCTCCATTGTGTTCAATTTGATTACTTCCGAGGGTGAGTGTCGTCAATGTCTGCACCAGAAAATATCAAAAGGCAAATGCATATTAACAGAAAAGAAAATAGGAATATCTCTTACCGTGTTATGTACCAATGCATCAGCTAAATACTCTGTAACAATATCTCGGACTTGATTCCCTCCAAGACTGAGTGTGGTGAGTGTCTGTTTTAAAGATCATAACAATATCATAACGATGAAAAGATCAGTCTTCGTACTATATTATTTATAATTAGATCAGCAAGTTCTACTGCTTCAATGGCACCAATAAAATTTCCACCAAGTCTGAGCGTCGTGACTGTCTGCATCAAAGAAAACAACCATATTAGACAAATGAATCAACTGTTTTCTATTCTAACCTTGTTGTGCTTCAATGCATCAACCATCAAGTGTATTCCAACAGTTCCGATTTGATTGTGTGCTAGCCCGAGTACAGTCATTTTCTTAGTACCAAAGTGCAAGCACATCAAGTGAATATAGATCTAAAGTTTCCTACCGTATTACTACGCAATACATTAGCCAAATGATGTGTTCCAACATCTCCAATGTGATTACCTCCGACTTCGAGTGTCGTTAGTATCTATAGGGTGAAACATTCGAAATTATTATGAAGAGACAATTTCTCTTACATTATTGTATCTCAACATATCAGCCAGAGATCTTACACCAACAGGTCCAATATGACTATTTCTCAGAATGAGTTCAGTCAGTGTCTAAGCAAAAGAAAGAAAAACAAGACATTAAGACTACGAAAGAGAGAGAGAGAGAATGTCTCACCGTGTTTTCCATCAATGCCCTAGCCAGATATTCTGTTCCATCGTCTCTGATTTGACTTTGCTCGATTATAAGAGTATTGATAGTCTATGTAATCCGATGGCAATATTGATTAGATAGAGAAAAACAGAAGAGATCTCACGTTGTTATTTCGTAACGCATTGGCTAGATGTTGAGCTTCTAGCACATCGATTTTTCGCTCTTGAAGATTAAGTTTGGTGAATTCCTAGATGAAACGATCGAGACTGAATTCACGAAAATGTAATAGATGTATGATCTGTATCTGCTCATAATATAGAATAGTTGAAACATTATTATTCACATCATCCACTGTTGCTGTGAATAATCTAATATTAATCTGTTATTTTTTCTTCATAGCTGAAATCTTTGTTCACTATTACGATAGACATGAGAGAGTAAGTACGGCGTATTTCTCTGAACTTATCTCCTTTCAATCTTGACCAATTATACAACAGATTGTACTCGTCGGTTCATTCACATTTTAGTATCGGTAAGCATTCAATTCTAGGATTGAGTTCGTGCTATACAACGAAGAAGAACCGCTCAGACATATAGTCAAATCTCTCTTATTAAGCACTTCTCCTAAGTGATCATTCTGCTACACTGAACAACCTCTGATCTCTGAACGTAATCTCTATAATATGAACAATAAGGTGTGGCGCCATGTGTCAGTGAGACAACATTCAGCATTTGATTGGTTCGCCCTAAGATTCGTCAGAGAGAGATACCATTCTTGTCTATGTTCTGTGGAAGATCAGAAAACATCGAAAATATTACGTTCCAAGTTGAAATAGTCGTACGAATTCTAGTGACGTAATGAAGTCTCATGTAAAGTATATATGGAAGTATAGTTCAAGAATTCAACAGTGGAATCACATTGTAAAGTTGACCATTATCATACTTTTCGACAGTCAAATTCCATGTAATAATCCTCGACATTACTCTTTCACCATTCTAAAAGCGAATTCAGATTGAATTAATTAGAACTGAGTATTAAACCGGAAGAAATCTGCATAAAAACACTGACGTTTCTTCATATTCATATCAATCCTTTTCTAAATGGTCACTCTGCTAATGGGAAGGATTTTCGTTGGCACCAAAGGTGTTCCGATGTGAGAAGCTTTACTGTACCTTATATCGTTGGTAATTGTCTATGATATCATTCAGTATTGTGCATACATTGCGTAGCGAAATGATAATAGTATAAACTTCGAGTTGGTCAAGAATATGATAGATAAGCTCGACTGGTATCGTGAGAAGCGATGGACTACTCGTAGAAGACATGAATAAAAGTATTTTCTACAATCGAGATATACACATTTAGAATATGTCCTATAAGTACAATTTCTGATTGTACAGCCCGACGTCAAAATGAAGAACAACAAACACTATACTGCTGAGTACTGTTCGCGACGCAGTAATATTTGTGGCAACTAGTAGATATTACATTTGTTTGGAAATGAAACGTCACTAGTACGACTGCTTGCCGTTTCTAGTGGCACTTAGTAACCCCAATGATTACCATCTTTGTCCTGTTCTTTCATAGAACAGACGAAGAAAATGTTGTGTTCTGTTTATTAGAATTAAGTATAATATCGCGGATGAGTGATTCATCATCGTAAGTCTACGTTATCGATCAAAAAGGATTAATTAAATACTTCTCTCATATTTGACTCTGTGTATACAAATTTCAGATTAACATTTTCTTCATCTGCAAAAAGAAAAGCTGTAATTACTCTCAGTTGTTGTTTGTTAATGTGAGACTCGTATAAGTATCAACCAATCATAGGTCTATATCGTCATGATCGCTAATCAGCAATACCAGAGGACCTCTACAACTATTATTATGTTGTTCCCAGATCTGTTCGAGTCGAAGAAAGTAAAAGAAATCTAATCCAACGATCTTCGAAAATATGTCGCTCAAAATTTTGTCTATTTTGAAAACAAAAAGTACAACTATAAAATAAACGGTCTTATGGAAACTATGGAGCTTTTCACGTTGTATATTGTGCTATATTCTGTTTTTTTTAATACAACGTATTAAGAGACGATCCATGACTCATTCGAAAAATCTTTGTCATACAAAAAATTTTGATCTATCTTTTTTATGATCGTAAATGAAAGAGCATGTAAAGAAACCTCCCCTAGTCGAACATCTTGTAAGCAATATCTTGGTTGTATCAGATAAATCTGTATTTGAGATCTTGTCAAGATCATAGCAAAGATATCGTTTTCTGTTATCTTCTCACAAGATCTTGAGTAAAAGAGCGACATCATTAGTGTTTATATGCTGACTAGTCATTCATCGTTTTTTAATGCAGATAGAGCCATATATAAACAACGTGATTGAACATACAAAACACACATTTTCAACATAGTTGTTTTTTAGAACTATTTCTCGAGTGTTGATCATTCGAGAACATGCTAATCTCGATCGATGATTGAGAGAAGACTACTCTGAAGCAGTCTGACGGAGATTGAACCATCTCAAGATCAGGCAGATTCCAAGATCTGACTTGCTTCAGTTATTTCGGATATGAACAATTAAAATGAAAATAAATTGAAAAAATGTCACTACATTGTTTTACAGAAAAAAAATAATAAATGTGCTATTTGATAGATTCGAACTACGCTTTCAGAATGTATTATGCATTGTGTCGCAAATCACGACGCATGTAACACGTTTTATCTTCGTATGTATCCAAGATCTTATGGATCTGTAACCAAGATCTTACATATCTGTACCCAAGACCTGATTCAAGATCTTGGTGCAAGATAATATGATTATCTTGTACCTAAATTTTCAAGATCTGTTTACATTTCTGTACCTTGTATCTTGGCCAAGATCTTGCTTACAAGATGTTTCACTAGGGTCTGAATCCTAAACTTTAGCCTTGTCTGACTGATCCTTGAATAGATATGAGAGAAATATTCAAAGTATCTCGATGACACTCTAAGCATAATCATCATGTTTTTTCATGTCTTTTTTCGTGTTTTTTTATAGAAAAAATTTTGTAAAAGGCATAGGTCGACAAAAAAAACTCTTATGGATTCAATAGAGCAACAAAACCTGTACGAGATACATCTAAAAAAAGTAGTGTAACAGTTAGCGCGTGGTGTTCTAATTTAGCTCGGAAGATAAAAAAAAAAGTACTACCTTTCTATAACATTCTTCTGTTATTTTCGAAGCATCTCAATTGAACGGTAATACAAATATGATTGTTTCTCATTATGAAGGCTAAGCAATATGGAAAATCTTGCATCTACTTGTTATACTAGTTAAGAGGTGTAATTGCTGAAAATTGAAAAAAACAAAAAAATACCTTTCTCACATGCAGAGTCATCTGAAAAAAGGAACAAAAAGCAAAAAAAAAAATTTAATGAATTCTGATCGTTTCTGTTTCTGTGTGCCCACTTAGTCAGATAGAGTAATATTATAGTCAGATGCTACACAAATAGAATAGACTATTTTTCTAGTATTTTCCCGTTTTCTAATGCATACATAAGCAATTGCACAAAAATCTCTATGAACAATTTGACGTTTCGTTTCTTTTTTACTCTTTCAAGTCATATTCAACCTATATTGATAAGGTACGAGTTTTGTCGGATTTATTGTAATATTGTGCCAGTGAGTTTTAGTTTTCTTCGGACGAAACTGTATGCCTATTTTTCTCCTCTTTTTTACAAAATGTTGGTGGGATGCCAAGCCTCTTTTCGTTGCTTTAAATTAATTTTTAATAAACACGTATGTGAAGTTCCATAATGTATACTAAATATGATATTTAGCGTTTAATTTATAATATTGCTCGAGACATTGAAATATATCAGCAAATCACAATGTAGTAATTTTCATTTCACTGCTAGTAGTTTATTCATTTAACCTAATGAACGATATCTTAGTTTTTCATATTTATTTGATCTCTGCTGGAAATCTAAATGTTCACTATTTTTTGTACTTTAACATGCACGATCTACCCACACCCACACCCAAAAATTAGAATGACATACGTTTAATCATATCTAGCTACAAAAGTCTATGAAAAGATAATAGTCAATCGAAAATAAAAAAAAGCAGATTATTCATCAGGTGTTGATGTTAATGTATCGTCAACGTTGATATGAGGCTCTGGTGGATGTTCAGGTGGTTTTTCGCCTGGTGGATACATCTGCATTGCGCCTGTGATCCAGGAAACTTTGACGAATTGATTATCAGGTAGAGCGATCTAAAATATTCATATGAAATAAGTGCTTAATACAATATCGAATAATTTGTTTTTTTGTACTTTGAAATCATGAATCGTGCCACAGGCTGGAACGTGACGAGCACGTACTGGTTTCAGCTCAAAATTAGCCGGAATTGATGGATGCTTTTTTCGGACTTCACTATTAATAGTATTCTTATGCTAAAAAAAAATGATGTACCAATAAAGAAAATGCATAAAATGAATATATTTATTTACCTTGGCGAACATTTCCAAGTCTTCATCCGTTACTGACTTATAAGTAAATGGGGAGTCATCCATCTTGATTTTTGTTTTGCTTTTATCGAATACTCTAAAAAAATGAGTACATGGGGGTATATTTATATAGCAGTCAATTGATTTTTTTCTTGCGTTCTTTTCTTGTAACAATCATGCAATAACGAGTACTTGTGTCCTCTCTCATAGAAAAATAAGCAATTATATATATATTTACTCAAAACTGTCATGAGTACAACCTTGAAAATAGACATACAATAATTATGCTATTAATCATATGCATGAATAAGCAGCACAAAAAATATGTTCTTTTTTCATCGATCAATAAACATAAAAATTTACAATACCAAAGAGCAAAACATTGAAAGAAAAACATCGACATAATAAGACTCGTTGTGTTTTCTATTCAAAAACATTGTGAAAAAAATGTAATTTTGATGTTTGATATCTTTAGCGAGTAGAGAAAATAGTGTCTGTTTGTATTCTTGAACATTTGTTTCTGCATTATTGAGTATAGTTAAAAGTATTTTAAGGAAAGATTTTTGGAAAATAGCTCGCAGTGTCTCAACATTTTCAAGAATTTCAATTTTTATGTAAATAGACTCTAACATTTTATTCGCTTGTTTTTTTTGCTCATATATTCTAAAAAAAACAGTCCTTGAACTCTTTCTCAAGATTGGCGATGCCGAACCACCAATAGTTTAAATTTATTCTGCACATTTTCAGTTCTTTTTCCAACGGTGGACAATAGAACAAGCCAATGGAGAAATCGTCTTCATTCATGCAGAAATGTTGCACCTCACATAAAATCATACACATCACGAAGGAATGAAAATAAAGAATAAAAATATTTATGGATGATTCATTGCTCTTGTATACATGTCACAGTTGACAAGGGAATTCAGTTGAGATTGGAATGCGGGAAAAAAAGAAAAACAAAAAAGATCTGCGCTTAATAATTGTAAATATACTAAAAAGAAAAATACTTTTTTTGAAAATCATTTACAATGTAATCTTATGAATTTTATCGGTTCGCAATATATTAATGTATATTATTTTCATAAATAAAATGTAAATAAAATGTTGGAAAAGAAAATTCTAATCTCATTTACTCAATATTTATTTTGTTTGTATGAGTCATATCATAATTAATCTATCAATTTTTATTTATTTTGATATTCAAAGGAAGTGTTATGGTTCTTTCCTATAATATTAATATAATCTACCACATTCAATCACAGATTTTTTAAAATTATTAGTTTTAGTAAAAAAACTAGAGTCAATTATGTTTCCTGATTGATAAATGAAGAAAAAAAAATGAATTGATTCTTGATGTCATTTTAGAGAGTGATACGAAAAAGATTACTTATGTCGAACTTTTAATTATATGATTTATTCTATTTTGTGTGTCGAAACAGATTTGGGTGTGGGTCTGGGTGTAGGTACAACTCTTTCCTTTACTCACACCCACGCCCTTATTGCTAACAGAGAAAAAAGAATATCTATTAATCAAAAAAAAAAAAAGATTTGGAAAAAAAGAAAAATAAATTCTGGCTAATCGCTGAATGTCCCCACGTCACCAACGTAAAAAATAAAACGAGAAAAAAATGATTTTAATTACTAAAAAAACAGAACAGAGTATTTCTTAATCGGAGAAAAAGATTTCGAACATAACGAAATAAATTCTGAGCAATCACTAAATATTTCCATATCCGCGACTTAAAAAAATATAGTAACAAAAAAAAAGATTTTAATTCCTAGAAAAAACAGAAAAGAGTGTTTCTCAATCAGAGAGAAAGATTTCAAAGATAATGAAATAAATTCTAACCAGTACGTCAATGTCGCCATGTGCCTGACTTAAAAAATAAAACGAGAAAAAAGAAGATTTTAAGTGTAAAAATAGGAAAGACAGTATTTCTTAGTGGAAAAAATTTGATAAAAAACAAACTATTTGTTCATCGATGAGTACTATATCACAATGGATGAATAATAAAAAAATCACTATTCGAATCTCAACTAGATTCCAATCTCTACTGCAACATATACATTTCAATTCAAGCAGAAAACGTTTTCTTTAACAAGATGTTAGATAACGATCCTAAGTACAATAAAAATAGAGACGTCATTGAAGAATTATCATGCTACTTCTATGCTCTAGCAATGGGTATGGGTGTTTCTCTTGCTCAATTATCCTCATACCCTTTTTGACATAGCTTTTTCAATTCTTGACTATTCAACATTGTTCAATTGATCATCCTTTATTTTCAAGATCTCTTTGTTCTAAGAATTGAATAGGTATCTCAGCTAGACTATCCTATTGATATTTACAAACGATTGTTTTTTTTTCATGATAATTGAGTTTATATTGGTGATTGACTTTTCAGTAATACTCTCTTTGTTGACTACTATCTTGTTGTAGACACTTTTTGTGAAAAAAAAATATTTCTAAACTTTCTCTGAAAATGGAATTTCTCTTATTCTTGAAAAGAATCGAAAAAGTTGATTTGCACATATATCATATGTCTAACCCATAATCAACTAACTGATGAGTATTAATCGATTTCATGATAATTAATATATATTGACAATTATTTGCGTTAGAAAATAAACAAACAAAGAAAAATGCCATTTTTTAAGAAAGTAGAAATGGAAAATTATATGTATTATCCATAGTATGGAAAACAATTTGAATATACAAAAGAAAAATTAAGAAAATTTGCAGAAACAATATCGAAATGTTTTCGATTACATTTAAAAATATATGTGGACATTTGATGATAATGTTTACTGTGTACCGAAACATTTTCAATCGAAAATTATCATCGATGAATAGTATTTCTTGTATTCCAAATGTTGGTTTTGGTAATGATTTTGTAATAGTACATATAGTATGATGTGATATTCAATCGGGTGAAGAATTAATACTGTAACAGGAATTCTTAGAAGCTAAATATTCTTTTGACAATGGTCTCAATTGTAAATGTAACTTGTGGAATTGTTCTAAAATATTACATTTTGATTTTTATAAAAATCTTCAATTTCAAAATGAATATTATAGACATTGTAGTGGTTAAATTAAATTCAAAAACTTCGTCTCAATCTGAAAAGTGAATGAACCATTAATTAATTAATTTTAAAAAAGTTGTCGAATTATTTTTGTTTTTTATTCGTGTGCTCATTCAATATTACATAAAATCATCTGAATTCTTTTCTTTTTTTCTCGATTTCAATTATATTTCACTTCTAGAATTGATCAGATCGAATCTTGAAATTCGATTACTAATTATGAATTTTCTCGGTATAGAAAAGATATTCCCATTTGTTCATCTTCGAACAAAAGTCATCAATATCATTGACATTCATAATTCTATTCTTGTTTGAATAATCAATCATTAATCAACTAATAATGATGAATAAAGAAAAAAATTTGTTATTTGAACTTTATCTCTTTATCATACAATTCATTTTTCTTTTTCTTTAAGATAGGAAATAATCAATTTGATCACTGTTGATATATATTTGATCTTTTTTTTTTAATAAAAACTCTCGTTAATATGAGACAAATAAAAATCTTGATCAGTGTCATGGGAATAGATTCGAAACAAATCTTGACATTGTCGTTCGTCGATACCATTCGAACAAAAAAAAATGATCGAGTATCGATTTATTCCCGGGCTTGCGAAACCGAAGTTCCGTGTCCAAATGCTTCAGGCTCAAATGGTAAGTTTTGAATTGGTTAAACCCGAGAACGCGGCTCGACCACTTACTCTTCTCACTTAATATTCTCTTATTTTGTTTTACATTCAAGTTGTGACATATAGACACTGTATTTTTCGTTCTCTTATATAAAAAAATGCCATGACTAACATTGATGACTCATTAACGTACAAAAAATAATAGTTGCTATTACTACCATCTGTCGTAAATCTTAATTTCTGTTTTCATATTAGTATGGTCTTATTCGTATTGTTTATTTTACATATTTTTCACAGAGGTAAGTGTCAAATTAATTACAAGAGAATAAAAGAAAAATTGAAGACAGGATGTGGGTATTGACTAAGGAAGTAATGAGACTCATCTGTACTCACTAAATTTCTTGAGTATTAAGTAAGAAAATGGCAAATCTTGAAGGCATGAAGTCTGCTGTTTCTTTTTGGAGAATTTAAAGAAATAAAGATCACTCCCGCATTGTTAAAACTTCAAGAATTCAATTGAACTTAATGGAATTCAGGTAACTTTACTTTAATTGTTAAACGAAAGATTAAATATTATGCATATTAAAAACTGAAGAATTTTCTACTAGAATGTTAATTCTATTAAGATTAAATGTTCCTAATTGTCATTCAATGAATATTTGTAAATTTCAGGTCGATTAAAAATTTTAATCAATCATATATATTCGAACTTGAGACAAGTCAATGAAAAAAATTCATGATGTTACTCTCAACCTTAGCCAACAGATGTCAAAAAACGATGGAATTCCATAACGAACAGTATTTGCATTTTTTTATTTGATGCACCCATGCTTTAAAAAAAAACCTGATGTTTTGAAAGCTTATTTAAAGCTGAACAACTTTTTGTATAGAGCGTTTATTTGTACATCGTTTCGTTTCATAGTAAAATATTAAACTCTCAGGTTATCCTCAAAAACATTTCCAATTTTCGAAATTCCGTAATGCTCAGTATTTTTTTAAATAACTCAATTCTGACGGAAGAAAATTACATGAAATTGTTATTAGCAATAGAGTTAGATAATTTCCATTTTCTGATAAAAATTTTAGAGAGTTTGCTCTTATTATTGAGGAGATATCGATGTTACAATATGAAAAAATGAAATTCCGTAACGCTTGGCCATGCTCGTATTATTATTTTATAAAACAAGTAATTAAATCGATGATCACAAATCAATAACATCTGTCATGGTCTGTGGGGCAAGATGCAAATTTCTATCCTATATAATACTTCAGAGTGTGGGTGTGGTAGTGAATGACGAAAAGATTCTAACATCGACACCCTTGTTTACTACCTGACGAGAGAACATATCCAATGATCGAACGCCATTCGATTATATTTCATAACTACTAGTACGTAGGTCTTGGGGTGAAATCAAGGCATTACCAAAAAACTTAAAATAAATAGTTTTGACCTGGAATTTTGTCTATAAACAGATTTCAATAGTCATTAAATAATCGTTTAAGTTTCAATAAAAACAAATGTGTCTTTCTCGAAATATTCAATTTCAAAAAAAAAAGCCACGGTTTACCAAAGGAATGAATAGTGATTGAATCTGCTTCGAAATAGAATATCTAGATAATTTTTATTTATTGTTTATATCTTTGTAATCGAATACTTCAATTCTTTTCTTTTTTAACAATTTTCTAAAGTTGAAGGATGTAATAGAATGACATGTTCATCTTGTAGATTATTTATTCGTTATGTTTTTTGTTAGACAATAAAATGGATGACGATCATTTTACAAATAATGAAAGGTAATATTTTATAGAAATGAAAAAAAAGTATTTTTAGTTTTTTTTAACAGATGTACATTATTAAATCAAAGTGAAAAAATTCATTATGAAGAAATGTTAGAAACATATAGAAATGCTGAAAATGAAGCACATGATATGATACTTAGTTATGGTCTAATATTACATTTAACTAAACTATCTGTTTCATCTACAAGTATCAGTTAATAATATCGTAAAATCTATTTCTTCCATTGATATTCCGTTGTTTGAACAATAGAAAATAAATATCGCTTTCGTTTTCTTTTAGTCATCGACTCTATATATACTTTTGATAATGTTCGACTTCTTTTTTTTCTTAATGAAGATAATATTATGCAAGAAAATCAAATATTACTTGTTCTTTTTCTCTCGTTTTTTTTTCTGATCCTTTTCTATATTGTTCGATCATATATATGGAAACAATAGGGAAAAATTCTTTTTCTTATTTTCCATACCATCTTTTCGTAGAGACTAGTGTCTAGCACGGGTACAAGTTTTTTGCATCCGAACTTGAACCGACACATTTTTTTTTTGATACTCGGATCTCCATTGGACTTTTATTTTCTTCCATAAACAGCAACAGAAAGAAGAGATCATTCTGAATTCCATGAAACAGCAAGTGATTCAGTATTCACTTGTTATTTTTCAGCTTCTAAAATCTGATCAACTTTGCCATATGTTTTCTTGTTGCTGATAACACTAGAATGGAACTCAATGTTAATACGTAAACGTCATAATTGTGAATATATACATGAATGCTTTCTTCATCATGGTAATAATTACATGTTTACCTTTGCTAATAATTTATTTTTCTTCCCATGTATTTCATTACTTCGTCATATGGTTCTTCATTATCTGAAAATGAATTTTCATTAAAAATGAGGTCTCATTGTAAAATAATATTACCTTACACTTCTGTGATTTGTTCTCAAGAAAATTTATGTTTAATTCTTCTTATCTGTAATTTACATTTGACAAGAGATTATTTATTATTCAATAATTAGTTGAAAAATTATGTATGCTATATTTTATTTTAACTCGAAAGATATAAAAGAAACCAAACTTATTCAGTAGAGCATTGTTGTACCGGTTTATTTTTGTCTTGTTTACCATTAATAAATTTCGATCCAGTTATTATTAATATACTTGTTAAAACAAGAATTGAACCAAATAATGATAAAAAGTTTGATTTTGTTGATGAAAAAATATTTTGTAATAGAATAGAGAATAAAATAGCACTAGATTGAACTATTGTATATATTGATGGATGTTCACGTTTAATTGCTTTCTGTACTAATACTAATGCAGGTATATGTAATAAACAAATTGATGAAGCACATAAATATCTCCAATTAAAAAAATCATTTTTAAATGATTGTATTTTATCAATAAAAAAATTATATTTATAAAATATATTTGCAATTAACATACAAAATATTATAAATACATATTGTAACATTATTAAACTATATTTTGTTTTATATTTCAATAATAAATGTTTATTTGATATTACCATTATGGACAATGCTATTGAAGAATATAATGCAATTAATAAACCTATTAGACGTTGAGAGGAATCATTTGAAATGTTAGTTTCATATATATGTGATATTTTATTAAATAAAAAAGTTGGTTGAACAACAAATATCACACCAATAGTTGTTAATAAAATACCTATCATCATTGATATAGATGGTTTTTCATAATAAAGAATTGAAGTTATAATTGCTGTCCAAATAATTTGTGTATAACGTATTGTTGTTAAATCTGGCAATGGTAAATAACGATAAGCAAGATAATAAGTAAAAATACCAGTTGTTGAGAAAAAAGCACGGATAAATAAAAAAAATATTTCTTGTTTCGTTGCTTGTCTATATAATGAATAATGTTTTATTAATTTTATATAGATAATCAATATGATGTTATACAATAGATAACAGGGAATTAATGCATCAAGTACATCTACTTTTAATTCTTTGGCTACAAACATTGAAGTGACAATAAAAATTGTTGATACTAATATATAAAGTATTCCTAAGAAACGCGTTGCTTTTGTTGGAGGTAATTCAATAGGCTTATCGATATTTACTGCAACGATTGGTTCTATTAATAGATCAGTGCATGGTTCTGTGTTATTATCATCTTTCAATTCAATTTTAAATTGATTTTCAATTGTATTCGATTCAATTATTGAACTAAAAATAATATTTTATAAGATTAGTACAATCAAAGATTATTATTTAAGGTTATAATCTGTTATAGTTTTATATGAAACTTAATCTTGTCATAAGTTGATATTGAATTCGATAACAAATACTAGAATATTTGTTTTTATTTATTCTTTTTAAAAATAAACTTTCAGATTTTCGTTGTTTTTTTTTCTTGGTTAACATCTATTTAGAACTATAGTTATATTATCGAATTTTTTAAAAAACAAATCTTATACGAATAATATATGGAATTTTATGATCCTCGTGCTGTCGAAAACAAATATCATATGTATGTGTTTCTATCGATCATTTTTCTAGAATACATAAACATAAGACAATTTTGTTACCTTTTTTTATTCATTGATGATATTGTGTTAACAACAAGTTAAGAGAAAAGAAAAGCATAATCATTATTTCACCTATTGTTTGAGTCGAATGAACTGTATGAGCTAGCACATGGTTACGGTTCGGTTTTTTTTCTTTCTATATTATAAAAACGGGAGTCATTCAGTTTCACACCGTGTATTTATTCATTCGTATTATCTTCAGTTATTAACTGTTATGAATGCATATTCATGTAGCTAAAAGAGTCAAACAAAATTATCTAAAAAAATAACTTATACAGTTATATTTAAATATTTGAAATACTTTCTGATTCGTTAAGAAATTAACACAATCCTCTCAATCAAAATAAAAGGAGTACGTCTTTTCTTTGTATTACTCTTTTATAAAAGAGTAATTGAGTTTCATTCAATATAGAATACGAGATCATGATATTGACATCGCAACGTAAGAAGAAAAGTTGCGGAAACCGAACAGAACAACATTTCAGACGAAGACTGCGTCGACGAAACACTAAGACATTGTTGCTACAAGCAAGAATTGAAAAGAAACAACAAAATGTAAATAAGGCCATGATAGAAGCAAACCGAATTGATGGCAACATCATCATCTCAAATAATGAACAAGTTACGGTAAGAACATTCATGAGAAGATAGAAAACGATTACATCGATGAACTTATTATTTTCCATGATTAGTGTGCTAAAGGACATATCATCTGATGTAATATCTTTCCTTCCTCTGTGTGCTGTTATACAATTGATATTACTTTGCATAATCGCTTCACTATTACGCTTATCTATAGATGATTGAGCCTCGTTCTCTTTGGGTTGTAATGTGCTTGTCATATTTTATTTTTTCTCTCTCATCTCTGTCTTATATAAGCTTGTGTGTGATGTGAGATAAACATAATTGGATAATGAAGTAGTTGAGTGAACATCGAATACTGAGGATAGCAGTAACGAAATAGTCTATTCTTTTATTTGTCGTTACGATTAGGAAATTCCGTTGCATGATGTCATTCATGAGACAAAGTCAAAGAAACGCAAACGCAACACATCGACCAAAATCGAAATACATTTGAGTCGATCATTCAGTCGATTTCAGAAGAATGCTAGAAGAAGACAAAGAAAAACGTTCAATCAGAAAATGTTTCATCAAAAATCATAAACAAAATGAATAATCAATCAAAAATACCAGGAAAGAATTTCATGTGTACTCTATTGCCTCAATATTTGACTGTGTTCAATCAGAAATTCAAAGACATGTTATCAAGAGCAGTCAGTGATGGTAACAAAATTTACGAACGGTTAGACAATGGTGGATATTTGAATTCGACTCGTGAACTAGCTCATTTGGTCAACTTGATTTATTATTTAAAATTACAACAACAGTTATAACAAGATTATTATGATCTCGGTATGATAGATGGTGTTTGGGTTCCACCAGTATTGAAATCAGTGGCTATAGAACATAATACATGTTTATCATATGATCGATCACAAGAATTCGTTGAACAACGTCAAAGAACCATTTAATATCAAGTACATCGAGCTAACAATGATCTACAACAACATCTTGCTCAACTACTGGCAAAGACAGAAAAACTTAACTTTCGATCAATTCAATATTTCTGTCAACAGCTATTAGAGCATTGGTAAAAAAGTGATCAACTTCGATTGAATATTCAATTTAAACTAGATGTCGATGATCATCGATTGATCATCTCCAAAAGACATCAATGAAATTGATTAGTATTTCAGATCAAATTGATCAAAACGTATTGGCAAGCTACAGTTGATGAACAGAGAGCACTCAAAGAAGTGGAAGTTCTACGAAAATGAGTCTCATTGAGACGACTGTCCCGATTGATTGATAATATTAAAAAATGCTTTCATGTCCTATTCTCAATAAAGATAGACATGCTGGTGTGATATCATGTTGTTCGAAAACGATTACACAGTACAAGGCACTGCTCCAGTTAATGTACGAGTGGCAATCAATACGAAAAACAAATTAGGACTACTCGATGGAGATTAATCACAATCTTCTATTGACTTGCTAATCGAAACGATCGAAACTCGAGAAGAAAATACGAAGAAATATGTTTAAGAAACACTCTAACACAAATTGATGTCTTTTTTCGAACTGGCTCTGACAGTGATTACTGACGAAAGCAGCGTATTCGCCAGAGCAATATAATCATTAATGTGACCATTATTGCCTCATCATCTTTCATTGAAACTGTTTTAAATCTATCACCAATACAAATGTCCATATTTTATCGAAGGGCGCTTCTATTGTTCAAGGTTGTCTTGATGTTCATCGTATGATGCCTGTGAAACCACGTCAGAGAGAAGGCTTTTCATCATTGAAACGTATGCTCTATGAACTGCAATCAAAAACCTACCACACGAACTATGAATTTCTGCTCAACGCAAACGAAAAGTAGTGACAAGTGCTTTAAAAATTTTGCACAATTGGCCAGATATTATTGTACATCGAACGGATAAGAGCAAAGTATTTTATGTAGGCAATGCTACAGTTTTTGCACAGAAAGTATCGAAATATATGATAGAAACAGAAGTTTATGAAGAGATTTCCAATGAACGTTGTATCTTGTTCGACAATCTATGTTTATTTACCAATCTAGTTACTCCTCTTTTGAGAAAGGGTGCCATGAATCAAGAGCAACATCGGAAAATGTCTCCTAAAACAAATTCATTAGAATTGACTCATCTTCATTTTATTTGGAAACCTCACAAAGTAAGTTTCTTACTAAATCATTCCAATTTGATGCAGATAATGATATTTTCTTTGATATCATTCTTCTCTTGAATTCTCATAGTCTGATACACCATTACCACCGATTATGACAGTCATTCATGTGTCCAAGTTTCTCAACGACCTACTAGCACCCGTGCTTCTACTATTTGCTTTTACTTGTAGATAATATAACCGATAGACGTTCAAAAACCAATGCACATGAAACCAATATAATTCTGTCGAAATCTAACATTCTTCATCAAAACAATACAGAAACATATAAAGCCAATAATGGATGATTCACAGAACTAAATGACAGCAACACTTAAAAATGCTAAACATGCAAACAAGCAGCTATAGGTGATGCTCAATGAGAACTCATCCTTGAAACTGCTGATCAAAACGTTCTCAGCGAACTCGGATAAACACACCGACAACTGTCCCTTAATTTATATGATCTAAAAGTGACACACTGGTATCAATAGGCAAATAATGATCAACAAGGTAGACTATCGTGTGTTTATGAAGGTACTAAACAGAATGTTATGGATCTATTTATAGTGGACGATTATTACATCAAAGGGTATGAATGTAGGTGTGTGTCGCGAATCCAGCAAATTCCACACCGACACCCTCGGATCAGAGTCTTCATGAGATAGACTTGGAGTTGCATTTCAAATTCAAGAACGTTTTTTAAAAAGTCACGATTTCTGTCGAATAACGATCTTCAAACGTTTTTTTTTCAATTTTTTTTTGTTTCAATTGTCTTTTGGAAAGGAATATATATCTAATTATTCGTCCATCGTTAGATTAGAATCCATGGAGAAATTATAATACCATTCTCAATATCGTTGAAATCGATCAGATACAAATTACAGGTCAAAAGAAGAATATGACTTTTTTCACCAAGTTTCAATTCCCATCGTTCAACAGATTGTATTAAATGGGATATTTCTTTCCAGATTTCAACAATAAAATATTTTCCAGTCATCCTGTCTTTTGCGTATATTCTCTTCTGATGTTTTCCCCATTCAGTAGATAATGTTTTTTTTTCTCTTCCTTCGATCGGAAAAGTCAACAGTAACCGAGGAGAGAAAGAAAGATGAAATAGGTAACATGTGCTGTGTTAGACCGCAGTGCTTGTTAGTTAATGATGTGTTTAGATCCAATATTGCACAACATTCTCTGTTGTTTGTGAAAGAAACTATCCTTTACATTTCATACACGTGAAAAACGAGTATGTTGCATATTGCGATTTTCATCAGTAACAATCATTCTTCTTCTCCGAACACATCCATATGAGACATAGATTTCTGATTACACAATTTGATCAAATTTTCTTGAATAGTGAAATATTTATTTCAGATATTTTGATACGTTGAAATATTCAGACAACAAAATGAAAAATAAATCAGGTACTGTCATTCATAACCAGTATTGGCGTTAATAGGACTCTTTCTATAGAAATAGAAAATGATCAAGTGATCAATAAACGCCAACGATTAAATCATGGAGACGATATTCTCATTACAATAAACGATTCAACTTCTGTGGCAACACTGGCAGAGACTTCCATAGAGAGAAACAATTATTCTGCAACCCATAACCATGTTACTCCGAGGTAAGAATAATCGTTTCTTTCTGACTCTTGATTGAAACATTTTCTTCTACCACTAAAAAATAGTCGTTTGGAATCAATGTCCAATGAATTAATGTTCATGATCATTACTAATCTAAATTCGATCGATCTTGTACAAGCTTTCTATGGTCTCAATCGTCGTTTCAATTCGCTCGTTCTCAAATCGTCTCGTCACTTCACCATTCCCATTAACACTTCTAAGGAGTTGTCGATTAAATTCATACCTTGCATAGAACATGTCATCGAAAAGATCGGTTTCGATGTGAAACTAGTGTCACAAGTCTTTTCATGTACACATTCTTTCCCAAATCTTCGTTGTGTTATCCTGTACTGTTCAGATTCGACAAGCATTGAATTAAATGTCGAATGTTATTCTTTATTGGCTGCCATATTCTCTTCTATGAATGTACTTCGACTTTGTTATATCTATGCTGGAAACAACGAAAACCTAGCTGAAAACAAACAGGTAAGCTAGTCTAGATACTTTATATGACGCCTTTGTTCCAGTGAAAACGGCTTATTTAGATAGTAAAGGATCTCAATTCATGGCTTTGTCCAGCTATTGTGCGTTCATCTATAAAAAGTTGTGCTGAACAAGATATTTTACGTCTGTGT